GCTTACGCGCAGCATGCCAAAGCCGTCGATAGGCTCCTGAGCTAACTATGCGCTAACTCATGTTACACACCCTGAGAGGAGTTGCAGTGCAACTCGCTGCAAGCGGCAGCCGCCTCACATGTGATCACAAGGGAGCATCAACGAAGCTCCCTTTGCTACATGTTTTATCTCTGTACGCGCTTCTGGAGTATTTGCATTCGCTTGCATGCAGCCCACCAAGGCAAAGGGATTGTTCCTGTGCTAACTTCACGCAGTCCACGCTACGACAACATAACGCTTGTTCTCTGGCCGTTATCTAGGAGAGAGGCGAGCCGCGATGTAGGTAAAGACTTAAGCAAGTGCCAAAACCAGGTGAAAGCTTCTGCGCTAACCCGTGTTACAGACAGCGCCAGACTACTCCCGCTGCACAGCTGTGCTCAAGAAGCCTGGATATTCGACACGATGTTAGGTGCCTTTTGGTTCTCATATAAGGTATTTGGAGTCTGTTGGAATCAATGATGACCCGTGCGTAAGGCCGAAGATTCTCCTTGGAAACTTCGCGAGCACCCCCACTGTAGTGCACGAGCACTACAATAGCTCCTCTGTGTGGCCTCTAGAGACCTAGTATCATGAAAAGGATTACATACTATAGGATNAGGAACGGACTGCTCACCGGCCTGCACCAGCGTGGGGGCTGGGTGTGAGGCCGAGGCTGTGACTCAGATGTCGACCCTCGTCGAGGGTCAAGGGAGTTCTATTCTTCTGAGGATCTTCCCCTTTGAAGAAATCAGAGAACTCGAATACCTTTTGAATATCTAGTGGGTTTTATAGTGTGACAGCGAAAAGGGCGCTGTGCATTACACCCACGGCCCAGCAAAATTGTCGGAAACGCGGGGAGTTTTTAGTCCAGCGCACTATACTACGAATGCAACTCCAGGTGAAATGTTATGATTTGTTTAATTAACTGTGAACTTATCGGTCCCATTTTGCATGATCCGGCCTATGCCTAGGACCGAAACTACTGGCAACCTTTGGGGCTGCATTATGCAGCAGGCAAATGCGCCGACGGGCTTCGAGAGGGGCATGCTTTATGTACTTTGAGAAATACCGAATCTTTAGAGAATGTTTTTTGAAATTCTACATCATTTCAGTCAAACTAGGTGTTTTGTTAGAATTTGTCGTTGATATTGGGGTAATGCAGCAGCTGCGTACGTGCCCGACTCGGTACAATCTTGAGCTTCCGAAGGAACTCAAGTTCGTCGATACATCTGACTTCCCTGCATACATCCACAGTGTTATTTCTCCCACATACGTTTAGAAAATCGCCCTCTTGCCTACGCGCGCGGCACCATGGGTCATCGCCATCGTTCACTCCTGAAACAACAGAACAAGGCATTTAAGGGGTCGGCTTCCAAGCCTAAGAACCTCAAAGAAAAGCGAAGGGCTGCGGCGGCAAATGCTGCAGCTCTTTCCATTAACAGGCCCATTACGAAGTCTGACCGTGTGCAACGGTCCAAGCAGCGCCGCCTTCAGCTCCGTCGGGACCATCATCAGCAACAAGCATCGAGCCCCTCTGGCCCACCCCCTAAGGTAGTTGTCCTTCTCCCGTTTTCAGATTGTGTATGTATTGACAGGGTCTTTGATGCGCTAAGGCGGGAACTTGTAAACGAGTATGGGGCAGCAGCTAATGACGACGTGTCGGGTGGAGGTATGGACGAAGACGAGACCACCGCGACAACGAATGGTGCGATGGAACGGGCCTTTCGAAGCCATCCACATCACTGCCCCTATCTATTCACATTGCCTGCATATGCACGGAACCCAGAAATACCGAAAAGACACCCACAACAGGTGTTGCTGGTGCCTGCGCCACGCATAGATGGAGGAGAGGCTGGTGACGTAATGCAACAGGAAGGGGGGCAACCCGAACGGCCGAGCGAGCTCTTGCGGTATATGGACCTGTGCAGCTGCTGCGACGTGCTGCTATGTGTCTTCGGGGGTAATTGCACTTATGAAAACAGCGCCTTTAGTAGCCGGGGATACAAAGTATTGCAGGCCCTCAAGTTGCAGGGCCTCCCACCTTCAGTGATCGGCATCGGCTGTGTAGATCCTTCCTTGTTAGATCCGGCAGGTGCACAACAGGGAAAGCATACGGCGAATGAGAGTCTGAAGTTCATGCGCCGCTTCTTTGAATCTGAGCTTGGCTCCGAAAGGTGAATGCACAATAGGACATCAAATTAGGAAGTCGGCGAGCCTTGTCGGAAACAAAGCGCTTGTTGCGCATGTGCTAAGTATTTTAAACTTTGCTTGAGGAGTTGAGAGACGACACAATCATAATAGTTTCCCATTCAGCGATATTCTCATTGTTCCCCATCCATCCAAATGCAACTCATTTCTGAGGAAATATGCTTTTGGCGTGCTGTGATGTATTCCGTAGAAAGTTTTTTAGTATAGGGAACTCGACGGACTGGCGCAATGCTTTACGGGCTCTGGGGGCGGCTCCTACACTAATCCAAGCCGATCTAAGTGCAAAACACCTAGTAAAAGGAGCGGAGGCAACTGCGTGCAGAAGGCGTGGGCATTTACTCGCTCTAAGCTGGCGCATAGCGTGGCATGCCTTGTCGGAAGACCCTACTGCGCAGCCAGAGCCCTGTCTTGAAGCTTGGGGACTGGTCCGCGGAGCCGGTCTCACTTGCAAGTGGGCGAGCAGAAGCCGCCGTTGTGCATGCAGAGATGTATACCGCTTTTCGAGTATAGCTTTTCGTCGTCTACCCTTCTGATGGGTCACGCGGGACTACTTGACCGAGGAGAGGCATACGCAAGTAAACCTTCGGCTTCATTTATGTGCTGTGGCGCCGCAGGCTGCCTGTGCACATTACCGGCGTGGGCGATTTCGTGCTTGCCAGGATTGACCCGATGGTTCCAGTGCCAAAAAGGCGGGAATTCGCTGCAGTAGGTAGTCACGCAACAACTGATATCGAAGTCCTCGAGGCAGACCTGCAAGGTTAGTAGCTCGTGCCCAGCATACCGCGCACAGCCTCCTCATGGTGCGGGCTGATGCTCTCGTGTTTTCGTTTTCTGTAGAGGCTGTTTTATTCCAGCGGCTAAGTATGCGAGACCACACGTGCGTGCCTCTGCTTGTCACAGAAGTAGTCCAAGCATCCCACCCTTTGCAGCCCTTGGACATTGCTGCCTTGGAGCAAACCTGGCCCACAGAAGACGAAATGGCCGGTGATGATGGAACGGCTTCAGCTGCACCCAGGAGATGTGTTCGCGTCCCGAAGGATGTAGGGGACTACGAGCGAGCCTGGCTGGAGTCAGATACAGACGGCACCGATGACGATCGCGAGGAGGAGGTAAATATGAACAGCGACGCCGATATGCAACCTGAGGAGGCTACTTATGGTGAGCGTGCGAATTCCTTTGCGCGTCTTCTTCATGCATGCCTACACTGCATTGTGGCGACTGATGGAACCTGACCCCGATGTAAAGGCTCTTACAACTCGTGAGCCGTGGCATCTCTTGCAGCGGACACTGAGCCGGCATCGACCGCACCTGATGAAGCAGATGATGATTGGAAGCCCCTGAACGGTGCAGAACAACAGCAGATGAAAACAGATAAGTATGTACTAGCACGTGTTGGCANTTGGCAGTTCATATGCGGAAGTCTTTATTGAGAAATATCCCCCTCCTTAGCGACTTCAGAATATTTTGCCGCGTACTGATTGATACGACGCTAGGCTACTCTGATCTTTGTTTGATGCTCAGTGAGGCGTATGCCGCCCAACGGCGGGAAGCGGCAGAGATGGAGAAGGAGTTTCCAGACCAGGTGAGCTGGGTGCATTTAATCCTACCATTCTGCCTGTGCAAATAAGCTGGATGCAGAACCGACAGCGGTGCTGTAGCTGACTGTGATTTGTCGCGTTCAGGTAGACACTCCGTTGGACATTCCTGCGAAAGAGCGTTTCCAAAAGTATCGCGGCCTGAAGAGCTTTCGATCGTCTCCTTGGGCCCAGAATGAGGACCTACCTATCGGTTACGGCCGCATTATCGACGTATCCAGCCTGAAGGTAGAGGATTCGGCGCACCCAGTTGCATTTGTTCATGTGACTGGCCTCTGGCCTAGTGGCCCTCTCACAGTTCAGTATGTTAAGGTCCCGTTGATGGGTGCCCTTCCGCATGGCGACTTGTGATTTGCGTGCTTCTCAGGGCCTGGCTACATTTGCACACCGTGCTCATGCAGAAATGTGCAAACCTACGGGCGGATTCTCAGGAAGGTTTTGCCGCCTGTTGATACCTCTGCGGCATTCATACATGTTGCAGCAGCTGGTGAAGCAGCATTCCTCTCTGAGTGGCAGGGAACTTGAGGAAGCTTTGGCTGAGGCGATGGCTCAACGAGTGGCTAGTCGCTTTACTGTTGAAGCTCAGATTCTAGCGTCTGCTCCTAAAGCCAGCGCAGATAACGACCTGATGGTTCCCGACTTTCTTCTAGTTTCGCAACTACTACAGCACGAGAGCCAGGTGGCGGTTGTCCACTCCCAAGTAACGTTTTGTGATGATTCACCAATAAAGGGCAAGGATCCACTGTTGATGGCATGCGGATTCCGGAGGTAAATTTCCCTGGATCCGCGCATGCAGATGCAGCATACAGTGATTGCCTGTGCTTTGTAGGACTCCCCTGTATGTACGAGCTCTGTTTTGCGCCTTCTGGGTGTTGGGTGCAGATTCCCAGCCGCCCCAATTTACTCAGAAGAACCGAGGCATGGTATGCATAGCGCAGCGAAGTGGAAACTTAAGCGCTGGGCAGAACCAGGTGCAACTGTCACCGCAACTGTATATTCACCACTGGTACTCCCACCGTCGCCCTGCATTATGCTCCGGTCTGACCAATCAGGTACGGACATTCATATTGGCAATGCAGCGGAAGGCATGCTGTGAGGGTTGGGAGCAGGGCTGAGTTTGTTACGTGTGGTGTGAATTGTGGACTGCGCAGCATTGGACAAAGTGCGCGTTACAGCGTGGGGCTCCATTCTTCCAGTGAATAAAGCGAGCAGCCGTTTAATTATTAAGCGTGTACTCCTCAGTGGTCATCCGTTTAAGGTTCACAGGCGCAAGGCAGTTGTGAGGTTCATGTTTTTCAATCCCGACGACGTGCGGTGAGTGCTGCGACTGAGCTGCTCCTATATTGCGGGAGCGCTGACGCACCAGATCCTCTCCTCCATGCAGCAGTTGTGGATTCTGTGTCATTTAACCCACAATCTCGCTGAAAGCTTTGAAAGATATATGATAATGCCAGCTTGCCGCGACAGCCTTCTTGTCGTCGCGTTTCTGCAGGTGGTTTGCTCCAATTGAATTGCACACGAAGAGGGGGCTCCGCGGAAACATTGTGGAGCCGTTGGGTACTCACGGGTACATGAAGTGCAAGTTCAGCGACTACCTTAAGCAAAACGACGAGGTAAACCCCTCTCTGGTGACCAAAGCAAACGCAGCCACCAAATTGTTCGTGGAGTGATAGCACGAGTTCTTAGATTGTTTTGCAGACACCTTTCGTCCGACATAAGCTGGAGTGTCAAGGGTATGCACACTGCAGGACGCCATGGGGCTTTGTGTTGCTTAGCAGCTGGAAAAAGAGCCGTTCTTACTTGGCAGCGGCATGCACTGGGGTTGGTTGTGTCCACTTTAGTCTGCACTTATTACATCCTTACCGTTGTCTTTCTCGTAGTTATGCTAATAAATGCCTGTAAGGGTATTGATTTATGGTGTTGCTCTCAGGTTTTGTTGCCCCTTTATCGTCGAGTATTTCCGAAGTGGTATCCACAGTCGTGGGGTGGACTACCAAACCAGCAGCCAATTGATTAATTATTTCTGTAAACTTTAGCACCACCAATACTTTTGTGTAGGATTTTTGTATGGCCAATGCCCCATCCTGGGGCATTGGTTGCATCAGACACCAAGAAGCTAGGCTAGTGTAATGCTGCATGCAGCCCGCTCGCTTAAATGGAGTAAAGACTATAGATAATTACCACCCTTTAGCTATAAATAAAAGAAAACGAGTACGAAGTGGGATTGGCTTTGGCTACGGCAAACTACCGCTGTTGCCGGTGATACTTGAGACGGACTTCAAAATCNGGCACTAATATAAAACGCAAAAATCGTCTTTGGAAGGTTCGCTTCAAAATTGTGCTTATCAGTATCTGCGGATCGAGAGTTCTTAAGCTTATTCGTAAGATTGCACAGGAACAGAATCTGATTCGTCAAGCGTTAGAATGTGTTGGCATGTGACAAATTAACTAGCTTAAAACATATATAGTAGAACGTTTGGTGGTTTGATCCGCCGGAGCAAAAAGGATGAACATGACTGCCTTTGAGAAAGGAAGCATATTACTGACGCGTCCTTGAACTGCTCCGCGGAAGCATGGCACCCAAAAAAGCCCTGGTAAATCGAGACTTTTTATTGATAACGCTCACAGATGATGAGCGGGCAGATTTCTGCACGGGTAGAGCGTGTTTATTAGGCGGTTTTGCGGGCCTAGGGCTGAAGGCTTCCGCTTTGCCCTGTGCACTGGGGATGCTTGCTTCTCCAGTTGTGGGTGACGATTTCGCCTGGAGCTCTGGGGCGAGCGGACGGTGCGCAGGTGGTTTCAATTCCGCATTCTTTAAGTGTGGCTGGGCNGCACGTGGTAAGGATGCATTCTGAAAAGATCTCCCTGGGGCCTGTCTGTGGCCTGCTACAGCGTTGAGCTGGTGAAGATAGCGTTCCCTAAGAGACATATCGGCGTTGTACTTCTGACGAATGTGGGAGTCCCACTGCCGAAGCTGCTGAAGTTTTAGAGGGGCAGCACCAACACTTAGCGCCCTGCATATTTGTTGATCGTTAGTCAAAAACAATCGATCTTCTCGAAGGACGCTCTTGCCTCTATTGAAGTCCACATCAGCCGGGGGCGTTTCAGGCACTCTTTCTCGGCGAGCATCGAATGCGTCGAATCGGCTGGTTTCAGGTATCCTTCGCGTCATCAGCGTAGCTCTTTCGTTTGCCACACTAATTCCTTCGTAAGCTCCCCCGTTTTCCATTCTTGGAGCAAATGCTTTATAGAGGTCTTGTTCTTTTCGGCTGAGCTGGTCGTGCTCGTCAGGCATACATGTCTGGCCAGTCGACTCTTCTAGCGTCTCCATCTGGCTGGTCGGAAGCCATCCATCCTTTGAGAAAGTTTCTATCTGCCTTGCTATGCATTGTTGTACCCGTTTCCCGACCGGCGGAGTCGTGCAATTCGATGCGTGCGGTAGAAGGATAGTCTGGCACGGTAACTCGGACTCGCACTCGCTGGTGCACCAGCTGCTAGTAACTGACAGTGGGTCATCGCGATCCTTATCCGATACACGTATGATGGGGCCAAGAGCAGGTGGCGGGGGGAAGCCATGAGATAAGCATGCCCACAATTCATTAAAGCGCCATCTCCGGTCAGCCGGCATGTTAGTCGAGTTGCTCACTTTTGCCCTCCCTACAGCTCTGCAGGGTCGCTCGTCTGCTGCGCCTTCCCATTTGCCTTTAACACCAGTTTCTACAACCGTATCGCTTTCCTTTTCTGCGGACGCCTCTGGCCGATTTGCAGTTTTCATGGGCTGTTGCTGGAGTTGCTCTCGCCTATGTTGAACCACATTTTCAGGAAGCTGCGAACCCGGTTGCCGTTGCGTATGTAGTGGTTGTTGTTGACGCTTCAACAGAGTCGGTAGCGGGCGATCTTCCGGATCTTCAACATAAGTGCCATCTTTTTTGTTGCTTGTGCATTCCCTCTTTCCATGTTGTGTGGGAACTTCTGCTGTGCCTTCGTGGAGTGAACAACAGCTAGAATTGCTCAGCCCACGGGAGAGCGACTGCTTTGTTGAACTGCAGTGTGGAGCCCCACACCTAAGCGTTTCGCAGGTAGAAGGCCCTTCTAGTAGCTGTCCCGGCCTGTCAGGTGTTGCAGAGGCATATTGACACGGGACCCTGTCCACGGGCACAAGCCCATGGCAAGGAGGGTCACAGCCCATGGATATAGCACCGCTTTGAGCAAGCCGCCGCATCACATCTTCGGGGTCTGATATTCCGGCATTTCTAAGAACCGTAGTGGCAA